GAACATGTAAAAAGTAACATTGATAAAAATGTCCATTAACGATGCATTTAGAATAAATTGTCTTGTAGTTAAGTGAAAAAATATATACTTTTCCGTTTCATGTTTCATGACTGTCATATTTATCCCTTAATCTTAAACCGAAGCATCGGATATTTTTATTCCCGTCAAATCATATAGATACACGCAATATGAATGGAATATATAACACTTCATTTGTGCTAATAATACTCAGAATTCATGCTTTATCGGTAACGTCGGGTATTGACACTAAAATGGTAAGGGGGCTTTTGACACCCTCGAAGCATAGGACAGAAAATTACATTGCATGTTAGGTGTATTCTTATATCTCGTCTGTGGTAGAGGGCAGCAGAAAATCTCTGATTTTATGCACGATTGGTATTTCAGAATAAGTGACACAAAGTCCTATAAGATGGCAAATCTATTTTATATCTTGTCTGTGTTCTAACCACTGAACTCTATACTACCTGGAATGCGCACTGCAGTGGGCAGAGACGACCAAATTCGGCTCAAGAGAGATATCATGAAAGTGGTATCTGCATCCTTTATTAATGTGGTACTACCCTGTTGTAAACTTAGGTCTAGCAGGTATAAGCGTGTACTACCTTGAACTCGTGCATACGACACGACTTTAATACTTTATTTATGTAATAATTTCATGTAAAAAAAATGCCAGAATAAAGAAAGTACATTACATATATCTATGTTCAACTTTCAAATGAAATTAAATCTCTACACATAACATATACATGTCCATATACATATTCACGCCAATGAAGAAAGAGGACTCTTGCCGAATAAACCGTGTAAACGTAAACTTCTCTTGATGCGACTACAGTTCAGAGTGACATGTAGTAAGAATGAGACACAGATACCCGTTCAGTCGTTTTCTTATACCCGTAGTGCGCATTCCAAGTAGTATAGAGTTCAGTGGTTCTAACTCATTTTAAGTATTCAAGGTATTCAAGAATGTACATTCATTGTTTGAAAAAAGAGTAATTGAATGTAAGTGGTTGGGTTATGATTGAAACGAACAAAAAGCAAGGGACATCTTTAAAAGAAAGTTTTTATAATAAGTAATCGAATCTAAAACATGCGGAACATATTCCTTTTATGATGTATTTATTCATACGTTAAAGAATTTCTTACCTCGTAGAATTAATTTTGCGGTCTTTAAATACTTCGAACTATTATAATTTTAATTGGAACAATGCAGTAGTGTTGTTACACACATTGTTGTCATAACATAATGATCGAAGAAATTCGTTAGTCATGTGCGTACTTTTTTTAGATAAATAGTGAATTTTAAAAAGCTATGAAATGGCAGTAATACCCATAAGAAGTAAGAGTGATTTAACCGTAGGCCTAGAAAAAATATCAGAAAATAAAGCTATAAAACATCAACGGAAATTAATAGATGCTTGGGAACCAAAGTCTGATGTGTATGTAACACTTTTGTAATTTAACATGAAGGTTGCTTTTACTAGTCTGTATGGTATTGTCAAAACTGCATTTCCTTCATTCAAATATTTGTATTCTTTTTCCATTAGTACTTCTCTTCGACATGGAAATAAAATTATTGGAGGAATGTGTGCTGCAAGCAGTATTATAATTAATGGTCTATTTAGGCGCAAATTGAAATTATATGATAGGGGTCTAGTACTTACATCCGTATATTCATTAGCGGGTCCAAGTATACTTGGATCTTTCCTTTATGAGAAAGTATGTTAAGCATATATTAAAATTCATTGAATGATAGTACTTAGTCTTACACTTTTATAGAAATGATGATATATTGTACAGTAATTTGATGTTTTCAGTCGATCACAGAGGACTTAATGCTGTATAAGCATGGATGCCCACTATGTTATGAATTAAAGGCAGCTGCACTTATAAACACTACTGCTATACTGTTTCCAATAATCACAATGCCAATACTTAATCTTGGGGTAAAATTATATTACTTGTATATTAATTCTTCATATAATTTAATTTTTATACTACATTTTTTTGTTATATGCAGTGTGCTGCAAGTTTAGGATTGAGAGTGCCTTATCTCACTGAAGTAGGAGAACTTGCGAAATTTTGGATAAATGTTGTAAAACCAGCATCTAAACATCTGGCAACTATGTTTGTCATGAATTCATTTATAGCTAGTATGTTAGCCAGGAAGCAAGCTAACTCAATGGATATTATTGCAAAAGTTGTATTACTAGTGCAAAAGGATATTAGGGAACAGGAAACTTTCTCAATGATTGAACAAACTGAATGTTAATTAGTTGTCGATGTGTGTATATTTACCTGTATTCACAAGTAATGTAAATAAACTGTCTTCTACATAAGTATCATTTTTTTATTATATCATTAATTCAATAATTTATTGAAAGTTTATATTAAACAAGAAATATCACAATAAAATTGTTCCTCCATAAATAATTTATTTATGAATTATTATATTTCTTACTTATTATACATTAAATATATTTATTATATAACCAATTTAATTTCTAATCAAAGCTCAAAGGATTATTCATTACATGTACATTGCATTAGTTTGCTTATTATGCTATTCATTGTAAGACAAAAGTGTGGTATTGTGTGATGATTCTAATTATTACAATAGAATCGTGGATATGCTATATTTTATTATAAAATGATAAATTTCTACTATGTAAAATTTATTTTTATTACCATACTTTTTAATATTCTTGTCTCTATTAATACTAATAGATTTGATTCATCATTACTAGTATTTAACATATTATGTATGGAAAAGCATAGATATTTTTAAACAAATGTAATATTTCAAGTAGTATTACATACAACTGTATTACATATATTCAAGTACTCTGCTAATAGTAATATATTATAGATAAATTTAAATGCACTCACTATCGACATGATGGCGAATTCGAACGTAAGTACGTACAATACAATTTTGAAATATTCATCCGAATAATCTTTACAGACTGAAAGTTTATTTTGTAGAATAAAATTAAATATGACAATATTGTTCATTCATGCTTATGTTAAATTGTATTATTATGTTTCACCAGAAGAGTTTATGGAAACTTTTAACTGTCATTGATACAAATAACATAATTACAATTATACTTAATATTTTTCGTTTGTACGTGATATATGTGAAAGTATTACTCTTCCCGAGGTATTACTATCATTACTGAAACACATATTGCATGACAAAGGAAGTAAATACCAAATATTGAACATACATAGGCACCGTTTTGAATAGTAAGTGGTTATTGAATTGTTTAATTGCCTCTAATATTACGTTTACTTTCATATTTCAAAATCCAAGTGTTTGTGTAGGAAGACATAGTACACAATAATAATATGACAACAAGGATCTTAAATATTCCCATCAAACAAGTAAACACTTTTGCACAGAGAATAAGACCTGGGATCTAACAGACATAGAAAATAGTTGTGCAAATAAAAATTGATTAAACTCTGAACCTAATGCTTGTTGACTGGCCATTATCTTGTTGAATTATCAATATGTTGTAAACAAGAGTTAACAGTATTAATATTAAAATAACAAATCTTGCCACGAATTAGGCAAACAGGGGGTCCTAAGCAAGAACCCCTTGGCAGTTGTTAGCATTTTCGACCATGCCATTGTGTCATGTATTCTTGATAACTAACAGTCACTTTTTCACTCTGGTATCTAGTTAACTTTACACTGCGTCTCATGTCTGGAGTAACTAAGCCTTTGTAGCCACCTTTATGTAGCAAAGAATCTATTGTTTGTATTTGATCCCATCCTAGACATACAAAATACTAGTAATTGTTATTACATCCATAAATACCTTAATATTAATTCCAAACATAGAATAAACTATAAAATAAATTAGTCATATTTTATATAGTGTATAACAAAAATGCTCTTTAGTAACAAGTCAACTCTTAACTTAACTCATTAAGGACACAGTCCGTATACTGTACGGACTCTGATACTGTTCTCAGTGGCAAGGTTCATGCATTGTATGGACCCCTGTTGGTCATGTGAATGTACAGTAAATCATCGATGAGTGTTCAAAGGCTCCTCAGCACTGAGTACTCAGACGCCAATCCAGTCACTGGAGGGATCCCCCGTGGAACTAGTCAAGCTTCCAGTAGCAGGGATGACGTCTGAACACTTAATGCAGGAGCCTTTGAACACTCATTGATGATTTACTGTATTCTCAAATTAGACATAGCTATAAAAAATATCTCAAAACTTGATTCATTCATTAATTGTGGTAATGGATGCAATGTCACAAAGGGTTGGTTGCTTGGAAAGAGACAAGGAATTCTGTGTCATCCCTGAAGGGTTAATTTAATCTGACGAGATCGAGCCATACAAACCTTGTTCTCTTGCTACATCTGGTAAATAAGTAGCAGTCCGCTTATTGCCTTTCTCATTGTGGAACTCAATACGTATTCCGTGAACGCCTACTTCCCAATCTAGATAATCTGCTCCATCTTCAAAATGTCGAAGTATAGAAACACTTACATGCAAACGAGGCAATTCTTCCCGTGTTATTGGGTTAAATCGTGAGTCCTTAAAGGCACTATGAGATACAAGACACTTAATATTCTTAAATTCTTCATACAGTATCTTTCTCTTCAATCACATATTAAATAATACCTAGTGGTAGCATATTCCCGTAATCCTGCATGTAAATGCATTGCATTAAATGTACCAATGCAGCCTCGTAATCTCATATCTTTGCCAATAGTCCATGTTACAAACAATGGGCTTCAAAGTTCAATATAAATGTTACATTAACATATAGATAATATGACAATACCATTATATTCATTGATGTACTTTTGAGGATACTAATAAAAATTTGCTTTAAAGGATGGAACGACAAATTTTCATTTAATAAATATGAAATAAAAATATTCATTAGAAAATACACATGTATATATGTGTTTGCAAATTCCTATTTAGTATCTGGAACGAAGATGAACATGTAGATACAAAGATACTTGAGATAGTGTAATCGACCTAAAAATCTCATGGCTTGTTTAAGATACATGATCAGGTAATTAAAAAAAACATATTTGAAACGACTTAATCTTTTTTAAATTTACTACGAATTCTTCATATATATAGAACTATAATCACATAATTATGAATGATATTTTTTATTTCATATTCTTTAATATCCTTAACCTCTAGTACTAAACATTAACCTCTAAGTACCCTTAACAAAGGAAGCTGCAATTGTAGAAATATACAAGCAATCACATATATCATATGAGACTACATGTTCAAAGATATGATGGAATATCTACACTGTACAAGAGAATGGAAGACAAAGGTGTGAAATGTAAGACGACCTCAGAGGAGTAATGACTACTCACTATGATTCATTGCTGAAGTTGGGTGGTTTTGGTGGATCGAGTTGGTGCAGTTGGCAGTATAGAACATCGAAACAATAAAAGCCCATCTCAGGCTGTGCTATTATGGAGTTCCGCATACGAATGCCATTCTGTAAACTCATGGTAACGTTACACGGAACACTAGAAGAGTTGTTTAGCTTCTGCTTTTTCGTTCCACAACAACCAGCTGCCATGATTTATCAGTAGCAGCTACCTCAGATACGATCGGTTTCCAAACCATACATCCTGTGCTTATCGTTGCTATTGCATACTGAATTGCGCGCGCGTTCCGCTAGATGTCTTGCTAACTGCAAAACAGCTGTTTCACTGCCCGCCATTTTTCTAATTACACAAAATTCTTACTTCAGATAACAATTGACACTTCATACTATATTTCATTTACAAAAATTCATATATATGGGCCTTGAATATTTATATGTAAACAAACAGTATTGCATTTGATAAAGTTACTCCGTAATTAATTAATTTAACTATTTTATGATTAGAAAAATATATACATAACGCTAGGTAAATTAAAACAATTAATTTGATAATATAAAATCTTTATTTATCCCAATTATATATGTTATCAGCACTGTTTCTTATACTCATTTCATTTTGAAGTTTTGATTCTTAACATTTCTACAGAAATGTGTATTGTTATTTCGGTAATATTCAACATAAATTTTGTACCAGGCACAATACACTTTTCTATCTGTAAAAACATATTAATAACTTTGCTACTTTTGGAACAACAAACTTTGTTCTCTTACAATCATAGGTACCATTGCACTAGTTTTTTGTCCATCTGTACATATTCTTAAGTTAAGTCTCAATTATTTTCATATGAAAAATTTCTATTGTGTTTCAAAATAATGGGTATATATTATAATATCTTCTACGACTGATAAACAATTATTGCTTCAACATAAATATTATTAGATCTAAATCTCTTTTTCACGATTTTTTAAAAATATATTCATACCTATTGTTACGACCCATGGCTGATCTGATGATCGTTCGGTTTTTGGTGAATATTTCTATATGACATGCCGACGAAACAACCTCGTTCGAAGGACCCCCTTCATACTGAAGGGACAACACTTCGACTTTAATAATGTAGTTATTAAAATTTAACACTTGAAGTACACGTGCAAAGTATAAATCCAGCGATACTGGACTATGTTCACGAAATGGAGTCTTCCTGTGTGCATTAATAATGTTCTTTGTGTGTCTCTTGTGTGTTGAGTTATGTGTTCTTGCGTGATTCCTTTTATGCGAAATTCATACAAGGAGGCGACAGCGCAATGTTGAATTCGGAATTTTCGGTGCTCCTCATGGGCCGTTTTCTCGGAGACTCGCAGATACCGCCCACCGTAACGAGTATGAGGGTTGATGCCGTTACGAAATGGCGCACGAGGAGTGATGGGTCCCGGAGGGTCATGTAACTAGCGGACCCGTCTTCCGCGTCAAGTCTCCAGGTTTACGATACGGCTATCGCTATTAAGCATAATAGTTGAAAAACTACATGCTCAACAGAACTGTACATCAATAATGCGATTTCTGGGGTCCTCAATCCCCAAATTTGAGGTGTTGATTCGGAAGAGGCGGCTCCACAACTTGCAGGAGAAGCCTGTTTACGGATAAAGAGGGCGGTGAGGAGGAGTAAACGACTCAGGCGGCTAAGGCTGAAGCCCAAATTATAGCTGAAGTCACAAAACAGTTGCCATGGCATTGGATTGGCGGTCAAGAGGGAGCAAGAAAACGCGGGTGGTTCTCTGTACAATGTCAGAGAAATATGTATACGTATATATGTATATACATGATGGTCAACGCCGTCGAGGTATACAGCTTCATGGTTTTCGCGTGAACTTGTAACCGCGTAGGTTGCATGGCCCTGGAATGCAAACATCAGACCAGATTTAAATGGGGTCCGCACGTTAACGGGGACTAGGACACCGAGAGGACAGACTTCAAATTAGACTTTAGGTACCGGAAAAACGGCAGTGGCTAGTACCTGAATTCTCAGAGACGGGCTGGGATGTGGATTCAGTAAGATAAAGGGGCGGATGATCCACGCCCGAAGGCGATTTTATATCGCTTGAACTTGGAAGCGAAAGATTGGGGATTGTAGCGTGGTATAACTGTTGTAAGACATACCCAGGGGATAACGCCCTACGTATAAAGACTTCCGTGGTCGACTTCGGTTACGGAGTAGCAATTTATACCGCCTGGGTGGACGGGGTCTCATACTACGTTGAGATCTTGGTGTGGGGCTGAGGCCATCAGGTACTTATCAAGGACTATACAGAGAGCCAATTAAAGCCCCTAGTCGTCCCGTGGAATACTAGGCAGGCGTTATATAACGTCGACTATTCTGACGACGGTGGTCGGCCTGGACCGCCACTATTGGGAGCATAATCCGCAAGCTGAAAAATGCTCAGGATCGCGCGGCAGTGTCCTCTGCAGCAGTAGTTTCAAAGTTAGAAACTATCCGAAAAAAAGGATGGCGGAGACTCGTCTGCAGGGGAAGAGCCCCTTAGAGGATTTGGTACGACAAGGGTCCGGGAACCAACAACTGGGATTCACACATTAAACACAGTATAGTAAACAAGAGAGATTCGTATCGATCTTTGCTACTTGCTGAGTTTTAAAATAAACTATTAGAATTCAATTAGTTGACCTTCACTGGAGAAGGGTGGTCCTTCGAGATAGTTCTTAATTGTCGGCACAGTAAGTGCAAATCTCACCAAAAATCAGTGACTATTCAAACTGTATATGAATTTATCTTTCTTTTTTTTAGTTGAATCAATAATCATCATTCATAAATATTAACATGAAAGATATTTATATAGAATCCATAATGTATTTTCAATAAAGGGATTCATATATCCTATTGTCATAAATCGAGCACGTACAATTATTTTGTAAGTACTGGATATTCTATATTTAAATATGAATTGGCAGTTAATGGGACATTATATAATGTTATATGGACAATTAAATTCTAGGAACGAATTACACAATCAATTGATGTTAGTGGCAACAAAATCAAAACTTTTAATTGCAAAAACATTTAACAACGTTTTTTTGCTATTATTGATTACTTCTACTAGAATAAGAACTGTAATGCGTAAATTGACAGTATATGGAAGTAACTAACAATAAGGAAAAGTGATAGTAGAAGAATGAGAAAAATGAGAGCCATCACACATGGAAGAACATATTGTGTACTTTTTTAAAACTTGCATTGATTTTTTCAAATGTTTCTGAATTATGCTTTGCATTAAAAGAAAATGGAATAAGAATCACAATGAGATCATCACATTTCAACTTACAATATATTACAACTATTATTAATATATTTTAACCATTTCACAGTGTAACAATAAGAAATAAAAACTCCTATTTAGATAAAATAGAATAAAGACTAAAACTGTTTATTCTGTCAGAGAGATGAGCAAAAGTTCTGATACAAAGCTTTGCCTAAATCTCTGTGTAATTAAATAGCTCTGTGTATGATGCATACCCGAATCGTTCTTGTACTACACTGTGAAAGGTTTAATAGCCATAGTGCAGTCCACTGTTCACTTCCAGTAGAGATCCCATTTTTTTTTATTACTCTGACAACACTATGTCAGAACATCATTTAGCTATGTGTCAATAATTTTGTTCCAATATAGAAAAATCCATTACTTATCATGGAATCAATTGTTAATATACGGATTGCAACTAAAAATTTAATTAAATGCATTAAATATTAATTACTACTGCTCTCATAGAGAACTGTATGAAGTATTTATACTGTGATTCCTTCAATAACAAATTGAATTCTTTGCTGTAATAAAACTCTGGATCATAATGTATCTATTTATAAAAATAAACTTCCGTGTAACAATGATATAAAAAAAGCAAAATAGAAATATGAAACAATAGCTTAAAATCGATATACAATCTGTAGAACTTCAACATTCATAAATCGCAATGAATAAATATAACATGAATAACTATTTGCATGTGATATGATAAAAATCATTTACTTATACCATTAGTACAAAGAAATTTCGATTAGTCAATTTAAAATTAGTATATTTATTTACGAATCAATCATTATAACATTTAAAACAACAACAATAAGAAAAGTCTAAGATGGTTCATTGCATATGATTATTCTGAAGGAATGAAGTATATTCTTTTCACAAATTGTCTAATTCATACTAGTACAACTTTTCATACGAATTAGTTGTAACTTGTCATAAAAATATATATATAGTCATATAAAAATTATTTTGAAATTAGTAACTACACTTTGCATATGACTTAAAACAACATTAATACAAGAGGCAGTAATAATAGAAAATCCGTGTTTGTTCACACTTCATTGGCTACAGTCATGTCTGTAGATCTAAGAATAATATTAGTCAGGATTTGTACATTAAACCTCGTGAAGCATGCAGCATCACTGTGCTATGAAATTGTTTACATCACTCGTATACGGCAGGACATAAGTGTAAATGGACATTTGACAAGTATGATGGCAGAGCTAAAACTGTACATTTGAATTCTAGCTGAATTTGTAAAATCATTGGAGCACACGAGGTTAACTAATTATATTTTAGTACATGTTTAAAAACTTGAATTTTTTCAATACATCTTATGATTATTTATATCATTTATTACGCAAATAATATCTTTACTTATATATTATGTAAAATTTATTGAAAGAAAAAGACAGTGCCATCATACACATAATTTGCCTGCATTTAAGGAGGACCTTTCGGTATCATAAGAGGAAAACTGTGTATGCAGAAACATATAAAGTACAATAGGCACCACTTTAAACAATGAAAACTTGCAAACAGTAGCCACCTCCAATGTCATTTTCGTTTACGAACCCCACAATCTATAGGTTCTTGAGATGAAAAACGCTGAACACAAGGAGGAGGATGATGCAATTGTGGATTTAGGGGAGGATAAGATGGACCTGTTTGATCCCACCAAAATGAGGAATAATCCCATATTGGAACCATAACTGGGGAAACAGGAGACATTGGTAGAGGATGTATAAATGATGTAGGATGATTACGTTGTGTCATCATCAATCCAGATTGTTGACTGGTCACATAAGAACTGTATTGACTGCTATTGCATGATAAGTGAGAAGTATGAGTATCAGTGTTATAATGAACCGCTATGGAGTTTTGAAACAGTTGGGGTCCCTGATTAGGACCCCAGGCCAGCTGCTAGCATCTTCGGCTATGCCAGTGTGTCATATAATCCTGATAGCTTACGGTAATTTTCTCACTCTGATATCGCGTCAACTTTACACTACGCCTAATATCTGGAGTGACCAATCCTTTGTAACCACCTTTATGCAGGAGTGAATCTATTGTTTGTATCTGGTCCCACCCTAAACATAACATTTTCTTTTTTTCAAAGTAATCATGCATACTACATGTGTTCATTAACACATTTGAGACTAACACGTTATTATGAGACTATCCCTAGCTGGGAATAATGTTTACGTACACAGTGTACACGACTTATAGGCTGGATCATTGATCTTGAATATTTAAAATTTACAATAATATTGACAAATATTACATGACCAATATATAGAATACTACTTATGTTGATCAGCTTTTCGAAAACAGATGTTAATTTTTATCATAATGTCATACTTTCTACCAAGAATTTTATATATTACTCTATTCAGTAAACTAGGGTCACAGAAAAGAAATGTACAAACCTTGCTCTGTAGCAACATCAGGTAAATAGGTAGCAGTCCGCTTATTACCCTTTTCATTATGAAATTCTATACGAATTCCATGGACACCTACTTCCCAATCTAAATAATCAGCACCATCCTCAAAGTGTCTCAAAAGTGAGACACTTACATGTAATCGTGGAAGTTCTTCCCGTGTTATAGGATTAAAACGTGAATCTTTGAATGCACTTTGAAAAGTATCTAATGTCTTTAAAAATATATGGAACAATAAGATTATCTGATATAAATATCAGTTAACCTTACCTGGTTGTTGCATATTCTCGAAGGCCAGCATGCAATTGCATTGCATTAAATGTACCAATACAACCCCTTAATCTCATATCTTTTCCTATTGTCCATGTGACAAACAATGGGCTGAAAAATATAAATAAAACATCATTATATTGTGTAACATATTTTTTATAGAATTCCTATATAAAAGAAAATACAGAATATATGATAAACATACAATAATTGAGTAGGGAGCTATGTTTTCTCATTATATAAGTTTGTTTCTACTGATTCGAAGGTGATGTTATCTTTCTTCATTTTAACATGTTCTTCACATTTTTACTTTTCATTTAAAAGAAAAAGTTAAATATAAGAGGAATGAAAGGCTATAAATTTTTGGATGAACCTTAGATGCATCATCTATTATTTAATATAACAAGCGATTGTAAAAAACAATCTTCTTTTTATTATGAAATGTAACGACAAAATACATCGGGCACCGTAACAAAGAACTGGAACAAGGGGCGAGTACAAAACATTGAAGAAGAAGATAGGAGAAAGCAACTGAAAGCGGAGGCATGCAAGAGAGAGAAATGACAATAAAAAGATATCACAGACGGGAGAGGGAAGAGAGACAGCGTTACAATAAAATGATAGAGAGAGGTCAAATGCGTACAACGATATTAACAAATATTACTCACAAGGCTTCATTGCTAAAGTTGGGCGGTTTTGGAGGGTCAAGCTGATGCAGCTGACAATACAAAACGTCAAAGCAGAAGAAACCCATCTCCGGCTTTACGATTAACCCGTTCCTTAGCTGTGTGCCATTTTGTAACATCGAGCCATTGCATGGAACGCTTGAACAATTGTTCAGCTTTTGCTTTTTCGTTCCACAACAACCTGCAGCCATGTTTCCTTCGTCCACTCTTACGACGGACGCGACTACTGCGGACAGGATTGGTCCCTAACCCGCTCGTTTCTCGTCTCCCATTCTGCCTTGTCGTCGCGAGCTTGATTGCATGCGCGTTCCGTTAGATGTCCTCGTGTTCGCTGAAACAGCTGTTTCATTATATGTACGCCATTTGTTGTGATCGCCGCGACGAATTATCAAACTTGAAATGTGGCGCCAGTATTCGCGGTATTTTTCGTTGTTAAACTTATACAAATTGACTGCATGTCACTTGGTAATCCATACTACCCAAATTGTCATGGGAACACATAAAACAAAATAAGATCGAGTATATAAATATTTTTGAAACAATTTAACCATACACAATTACCATATAGTGAAATTAATGATTTATATTTCTCATAAACGAAGATTTGGCAATCAATTAAAGTTTACATAATATCGATAAAGTATATACAACTACAAGGCGGTAGTTGTTTATTTGTTTTCTATATACAAAATTCTAAATGCAATTGTTTTGGATTTGGCAGTACATACAGTAAGTAACGAAAGCCTTCGAATGATAAAAGACTTCATTGTATTCAATATAAAAATTGTACAAATGTTAAGGTAGATTGAAGGAAATTATAACTACAACAATAATGAAACAGTACCCAAACAAATTATAAATAATCTATCACAACAATATAATCCTGTCATTTGTATACTTTTATTAGTTACTACGTATATTTATGGAGTTATTAAACACTGTATGTACTTATTGCATTCAATATTACTGAACGATTACATGTGGTAATTGGAAACATAAAGAAGTTCAGAAAGAAGAGGCAGAAATAGTTAAATACGTTTAAGAAGCGACGTCAGACACAATTGGCTGGAGAAGAAACTATGCCGAGGGCACCGACTTTTCTAACCCCTTACCTGGCACCTGCTCACGATGCACCGGAGGAGCCCGAGGCGTGACAGCAGATTCAACCTGGCAACGTGCACTTGCTTGTAGCTGTCCGGTATATTGCCAAGTGGCTATATTTTTTCTGACAGCTGACATCGTGTACCCGCGGTTTATGGCATAACGGTTGTACGTTCTCTGCCAAGTGTCCAGTGAAATAACAAAGTGTTCGTTTTTTGTCGGAAATACGCGTTCCTACTTAAGGAACCAACGAGCCGGACAGTTGTAACCTAATAGTTACTTTGACGGGATCGTGCGACAATAAATAGTGTTAAGTGTATGATCCACGTGTATATAAACATTCGCAGTTTGTTCGGTGCGAATAAATCAGGATGTATTGAATAACCGTTAAACCGCAACCGTTACGAAATAAAACAATACAACATGAAATCGATCGATCGCGATCGACCTGGTAATCGTTGAATTTCGATTTTAATCTAACGTGAAACACAGTCGCGAGTGGAAGGAATGTTTAAAGTGGTAAGGAGTCGAAGCGCGAAAGACAGAACATGAAGAATCGTACACTGTTGGTGGGAGTAAAATAGGTAAGGACTTTAATGCTATATTTATTCCTCGTTTAAATGTGTGTACGCGTATACGTGTGTATCACATTATTCGTAGCTCGTTTGCGATGGTCATTTCCAATCCTGTCTCACCTATACACGCCTGTGTGCGGCATCGTCTTTGTTTTTGCTTGTGTGCAATTTATACGCGAATACATACGTTATATAAAATGTGTCATAATACTTTGAACGCTCGAGTGTGAGTCACATTTACGCAATCTTACGTGGTGCTCGAATCAGATTATTTTGAATAGATACAGAGTCTCGCAAGGATATTCACTGAATGGAAAATTCGAAAGCGCTAACGCTGTTAGGTAGTTCCTGAAAATCGTGTTTTTAAAAGTGTTAGCCACATCTAAACGTGAACGTGCTTCGGGTGATTTTAGTAAGATTTACTCAAAGGATTGTAATTTAAGATTGATAGTCTGACGAGAGCGTAAATGCACTTCTTGGGGGCTACTGTTTACCTACTTCTCTTATGTCGCTTGAGGATCGGTCGTATCGCTTTCCAATTTTTCAAGGTCACATGCGTACGAGGAATAATCTTTACGTGTCGAAATATTATATTTATTATGATTATAACTGTTACCTTATGTACGACGATTAAACTGAGGACAAGAGGTATGTATGCATATTGCTGGGGGCTACGTTCAACGCCCAACAAAAGTATGACCTTCGGATGTCTGAGCGTGAAGACTTTTCTACGAATCAACATCGCTCTGTCGATTGCTTTAAGATGACTAAAAATAGTTCCATATTAATGCTTGTAAAGAATTCATTTCTGTCGCAATCATTTTTCGTGACTTTTTCATAACACGCAAAAAGATAGTCATTGATTGCATTTAATATTTTGCTTACAATTCGGCTGGACTTTTTATTCGTTCGTTCCCCACTTGGATACATCACGACGTACCTCGTGATACTTATCACTATAATAGGCATCGCTGACACCAGCATCACACGTTCCAATTTACGCCTTGTAATTATCTGCGCTTCTGCGGAGTTAGTATGCGATCGAATCGTGCCTTAAATAGCGTTAAGTAATTATAACAGCGAGACGCTGCCCGCTGATCGATTTGATACTGGTGGTGTCACTTCGTAGAGTATGCGAATTTTTCAGAACGGTATTGTTATGAAATCGGTAGAAAAAAAAATATATAATTTCATATATCCGGTTACGCATAAAAATTAATGCCTTTAGCTCCGTAACACCCGTTAAATAAGAATATTTTATATAACTTGGTTTAATTTGTGAATTAAAAATTAGTGACGGAGATAACTCTTATTATTCAATGTAACTACCATGTAACTTCGAAAGAATTTCTTACAGGATTATTCTTTTAATGTTATTTAAGATATTCACGATTTGGGAGTCACTTTCTAATACTCTGTACGAGCTGTTTCGCTCAGACACACAAAACGCATTTACCGATTGACGGTGGTTGCAGTTAGTGTTGATAATGCACTTGTACGCACCCTACAGACGTGGTTTCGCCATTTAGACAGCCAAACAAAAGTTCGGAGTAACAAGGAAATCAAACGACCAATCGATACAAGAATTTCGTTTGAAGTGATAGTTAACGCTATAAAATTATACGTATGTATTTCATCCTTAAGCATATACGATAGTCAACGATGAATCGCAATTATTTTTATCGATTCGGACGTTTGAAGTTGAATTATGGTTGAAGAGTACCTACACTCAATTTCTAAATCCAATGAATCGGGTGTGGGAACGAATTATTACTGCAAAAAAAAATCGAAGGTTACAAATGACGCAACTGGCGCGCAATTAGTCCTCTTACGTAGGAAAATTGCATTCCGGCATACAACAGCGAAACATCGAAAGAACCCACGAGGGTGTATTGTATGTGTGCGACTATGCGCGAGGCTCGTCGTAGAACTCTGAACAATGTTGTTCCCGTATCATTCTTTTCAATGATTGTTTGTACTCCTACCGTGTTCGCGCTGTCCCTTTCAAATTCGCCTCATTTCTCTTCGTCTCTATGTCGACGCATGTCGCAATAGGCTGTTCTCACGAAAACGGCAGTCTTCTTTTTAATTACGTAATGATGTCAAAAACACTTTTGCCTACGGCTCGCTGGTACACGTATGCGGTTCTTCTAATAGAGGAGCGTGCGGTTTTGTCCGGAATCCACCGAGATCTACCTTGACCTTCTTTGCACCGGCAAGGACGGCTCCGGTATAAAATCTAGAGAAACGTGATATACCAGTTGTTCCAGACCCGAGATATGATGGAAAGTGTTACCGAGGAATTCTAAACGGATTGAAGTCAAGTTTTGATTAGTCTAATGTCTTCACAAAGGATTAGGTAATAATTTGAGTCATTCCTGCCAGCTTTCCATATTCAGGACTTTTTAAAAGTTTGTAGAAATTCTGTAAGGATATCGGAAGCTACTATTTCTGATTAGTTTCCACAACCTTAGCTGAAGTAGTTTTAAGGAAATCGTGGATTGAATTTAGTCTATAAGTATGAATAGCGGAAGCAAGAGCTGTCTAGGCCACTCATTGTCATGAATATTTTGTTTCGTCACTTATGGTCGTAGTATCGAGTTTTATCAGTAGTATATGAGTAACATTAAATGAGAAGTGTTTGTTGGAATTGATTTGGGTATGGGTCTATGTATTACACGTGATCAAACGTTTATTATCGACAGTATAATGTGATACCACGGAATTATACACGCGTATCAGTAAACGACGCCTATGATGGTATGCAAGGTCGGAATTCACGCAATGTGTCTCGGGAATCCCTTGAGGGTATTTATCCATCACTCACTTGTCTCTTCGTCTGTTTCTTAAATAATCACATGCCTATTGGGAAATTCTCGCCTTGAGAAATCACCGTCTACGTTGTCGTTGAATGAATATTCTCACACGTTTCCCGCCCCCAAACACTTTCGATGAATCTGTTTTGATGCGAGATTACATGCAGTGATGATGCGCTGTGCGATCTTCATTCAATCGTTGGCGATTAATTATCATAGATTGTATGTTACAATATCCTCTAACGAGTATCGTTATGTAAGCAAAACGTTGTGGAGTCTTTTAATTAACGAATAAGCGACAACCTCAGGCTGCAGGTGTTTGCTTAATTGGAATTATAATTTTCTTAAGAGACTCTTTTAATAATGCTTGGAGTATTTTTATTGTTAGATTAAGTCAGAACTGAGAAACTATAATGAGCGCACCCAAGTACCAAAAGATCCAAATCGAATCAACGTAGGTCCAAACGATACGATTCAAATCAACTCCGAGTAAAGGGACTTGATTTGAATCAACCTAGGTCCAGTAGAATGGAATTAGACCACTACAGGATCGTAAGTCCCGAAGTAGACGAATCCGAGGTCCCTGAGATATCCTTGGAACTCTTAAGACCCTCGAGACTATTTGGACTCACTGTGATTTTGAGTCCTGGTCTCCATAGCCCCCGGTAATCTACGGGGGTTTGGAGTGTCATGGGTTTTGTCAATGGTGTTAGAGCTCTCAGGGGACTCAAGAGTTCCAAGGACGACTCAAAGACCCTTAGTTTGATCCAATTTGGGCCTTAGGGCCCTGAGAAGATTACGTTCAAATCCGTGAGCTCTAGGTTGATTTGATTGGGATCTCTTAGTCCTGAATTGATTTGAGTGAGTAGGTACTCTCTGTACTAGATTCGTCCTATTCGGATCTCTTAGGCTCAGATTGGTCTCATTCGTTTCTCTTAGCCTTCCATTGGTCTGATCTTAGCCTAATTGTTCTGGGATTCATTGTTTATGGGTTGATTGGTTTTTTATGGACATCTAGTATGCATATTGTAAAGCGTAGGTAGTAGATTTGCGTGTTACTTAGTTTCACCAGATGTCACACTATTTCTTAGTCATAGTGCTTACTCGAGAATGTATACGACGCCGTGACAATACATTATGCTTGTATTATACATGCACAGGCGTCAGTCATTGGAACGCATATTCCATTAAGAGCAATTTCGAACTTTCCTTTAATCAGACCTACAGCAATTTCGTGCGTTTCTCCGTAAATTTATTACACTTAGCGAAACACGGTGGTTTATGATTTCAGTTATTATTATTAACAGTACAAGCTTATGTAACATTGCGATATGAACATCCTTAAGCTTCAACCTAATTAAGTTCCAGTGAAAAACAACTGCAGTTTTGTGTCGATGAATCTTTGGTTTCCATGTGATGAAACACGTACTTACCTTTATTCGATCGCTGTTATTTTGTTCGTGTAGATTCCAAAATAATTGCGTCCTTGATGCGAAAGATTAGCCGAAGGAGCATTGCTCGTTAAAAAGTCGTTCGGGCCGTATGCTCGAGCGATTCAATTTACCGAGTCGAGCCTTGCATCACACACGTGTACGCGCTCATTTTGTGTAAATTAGCGCACAGGTTGCTTGAACCACGCTGCTGTTTGAATTGTATAACGTGCTCTGCACGAGCTGTCGGATCTTCTGCTTAGAGATCACATTTACAGACACGCCATGCTTAGAGCTGTTCCTGGTAACCAAAATATATATAGAATGATCTTTTTTCGGAACTAAATGAAGGTGTATAAACTATTTCCATTATGTCTGGAACAATACGAGAATATTCAATGAGAACAAAATATTCTATTTTATACAAAAATAATTCGCGAATTTAAATGACTGTCTACACTTGAATTTTATATCTACTTAAATATTTTCGTCAAATGTCTTACGTTATGTAAATTAATCTTAACAGAAGAATTTTGCTTCATGTATCTGGTAAATACGTAATCGTAGATGGATCGAGCAAGGTGATTCACCCAGGAGGCAGTGCAGAGACCCTTTTTCTGCGTATCACTGACAGCGAATTGATCTCCCCAGACCGTAAAAAAGACTGAGAAGTTCTCATTATTTCCAGTAATTAACAAGGTTTGTTTCGTGATAATAAACAAGATTCACATTTTTATAACTATTGCTTCGCTCGACTACTACTCCGATCAAAAATATCGCGCCAAATCGATAAATGCACGTCTATTTCAAACCGATAAAGGTACTTGAACCTTTAACCTGGATAAAAATAGAAGAATCGAATCTTCAGTTCACAAATTCAGTCTGCTCTTATTTTGTGTCTACCTAATTCGGCGTTGTAGTGACTGAGGAGGCTACCAGTGGTCTAATTATTATATTTTTATGTGACACGTAACTTGAAAAATATAATTAACATTTCATAATACATCTTTTTTTAACGAGAGTGATGTAAATCAGTGACGTTAGTTTGAGATATTTACGTTTAAAATGTACTAAATTCTCTATTTAAAGTGTTACAAGATTTATGTTTAAAATATAATTCATCCTGTGGATGACTCAATGTCGTAGCTTTTTTTATTTACATCCCTCCTTTTTAGGGGTTTTCACATACACCCGAAGTATCATAACCCTTAATGAATGAAAAACTTGACCGTGTGGCTTACAGTTACCACATCTGACTAGAGATTGCATTTGTATTGTGATCAGTATTTACAGTAATACTTTCAAGAGTAACCAAGTTACTACTTTATTCCTTACGTTATAATCTACTGTCATGTACTTTTCCATGAATGTCACGTATGTATTCTTCTTTTTCTCTTTCATTCATTATGGTACAGTAGTGACCAAATAAATTTACATATATTTCTATCTACAAATGAAATCGTTTGTTCATATTATTAAAAATACCAAAGAACATTTTGTCGAAATGTATAAACAGGAAAAGTATTCTTGCAATTTTCACCGCATGGTCGTAAAAGTCAACGATCGATGCTACGCGCGGACAAAAATACGAAAGACACAAGTGGCAGTAAATAGTACCATGATTTGCCAACAACTACGTTCGCTGCTGAGGAACATATAGATTCTTTTTCTGGATTCTGTCCCGAGTCGTTCGTTATTTCATCGCGATTACAACTGTACTCCTCATCGTTTGGTAGCACGTCTTTTACGATGTTGAGGAATTGTTCGAATGGGCAAAGCTCCGTGCATCCTGGAATCGTTTGGATTATGAGTTGTTCGGAGACTCCAGTCCAGATGAGAACCTGTCATTAAAACGCAGTTGAAGATGTCAATAACATTGAAGTATCGAAAGTGTAGAATTTTTGTATTAAATACTACAAATTTTAAATGAACAGGGATATCGTAAGTTATACCTAGTTAATATATTAGATAGAATACTGCATTCAATTTATAGAAAATTCAATTACATATGTAATTCAAGTAAACGCATTCTACATTCTTCTCCAACGTTTTAAATGCTTCATATTATAATTCCTTTTTTAATGAAGTGGCGGTATAATTTAAATTGAACATTTTTCCAGATCTATTGTATGACAGAAACAAGGCACGTTTTTAAGGCAACCGACCTATTTTATAGAATTTCTGTACTTGTAATTCAATATTTACCCGAACATAGTAAGTCCTTTTCCTGTCACGCAGCGTTTCAAAGATAATAGTAGATCCGTATGCAGGTATTACAGGCTCGTCCAAATCTAGTGTCTTTGCAAAGGCGGCGACGTTCATCTCGTGTGCAGCAAAGAGGAAAGCTTTCCTGTCGTAAGGTTCCAATTTGCCCATTTTGTATAGCTTAATGTCTTCTAATATTTTACGTAATAATATACCTACAGGATGCAATCAGAATGATTTCTTTATTATGACATTGGATGAAAAAGAAAACACTTATGAAAAGCGAGTGTCTTTATACCTCCGTTCAGGCGTTTCAATGTCCTTGTGTACGATCTCAGTTTGAAGTCCAATGCTATTATTTCTTTCATCGGAACCGGATATACGGATTCTGTCCACTTTGGAAGAGTCAGATTCTGAGCAGCCTAGAATTGATACCATTCGATTATCAAGTTGTTCTAAAGGGTTACGATTAATATTGTAGGATAATTGTAATGTTACCTGTTCCTTGAACAGATTGTAAAGATAAGTGATCGCTGACGTTGTGTTCACTACTTTTCCACTGTGCTGGGTTAAATAATTGAACACACTTTTGTATTTATTCACGATGTCCTGCGTGTTTTGTTGTTGGAGGAATTTTTCGTACTCTTCCTTGTACCTTCAGACAGATATTTAATATACGTACTTACGAACGATGTATTAAAATCAGGGATAACTCCCTATAAGGTAATGCATGTTGTATTTATATAAACAATGTTTAATCAATAATTCAGCAATCATATTGCATAAATTTTTGCTCTCATTTAGCTAACGTAATTTTTATTTTTTTTGTTAAGTTCAGATAGAAATAAATTCCGAAAAATCCAGTGGAGAATTACAGAAAAGTAATAATAATATTTCTTAAGTCGATTTAATAACAAGATGGAAATTATTTATGACCCAAGTGAATATTTTCGTAGATTAGAACCAACTTTTTCAACACATGCGCATCATTCGAGTTATTATCGAGCTTAATAACGTGGTTGTTTCTTTTACACCTCAATCCCCGCGAACATTTCGTATTGTTCCGTAAACGAATTCAGTCACTAGAAGAATTACCTGGGACAGTGATGTGGGAACAGGAGATTGTCAGTTTCATAGGGCACGAAGAACGTGGACGTCGGAATCCATGGTAGATGGGGATTCCAGGTTTGCTTTTCCGAGGGCGGGAATAATCCAGCCAGAACTAGTTGAAGAGACAATTGAGTCCTTGGGACGTCCGTCGATCGGGCATAGATCTTCTCCGGCCAATAATCCGGCCCGAAATATCGATCGTAACGTTCACGGAGCATTGTGCCGATCCTGTATTCCCGCAGCTTACCTTGCTGCATGAAACAATTACCGTTTATGTTTGTTCGACGTGTAACGTTAATGGCTTCGTAATTGCTTCGCAACGATGAGCGAAATTCAATAATGTTTACGGCGTTTTTTTTTATTGGCGTCTCATGCAAATAGAACTGAAGATGAAAAGTAGCGTGTGCGATAACACACATAAAACAAAGAATTCGAAAGATAGAGTGTAAATATGTAGATCTGAATGGATTAAAATTTCTTTTCTCCCTCTTTCGAAGCTTCACAAAATTTCGTAATCTTTTGTTCCTGTGTAGATGAATCAAAGAATTCAAGGGATAAGGCGTAAATAGATGCAAATACATAAAAATTTCAATTGCTCTTTCTATTTTTCAAGCGATACTAAATTTGGAATTCTTCAGATCCTGAATAGGTGATAAATGATATGGAATTTTACACACGACTTCTAGACGGACAGATCAAGAACTTGTGCCTCGAAGAACTATTGACAGATCATCTATATGGGTCTTACGTTTAATTACGGAGTAGTAAATCGGATTACACTGGAATAGATAAGAGCGGTCATTGAACGTGAATTTAAAACGTTTATTTTGCACTTACGTTCGTTAAGTCCCCGTTACCCATTGGGTAGTACGATTGATCCTTGTAAGGGTCAGTAGGATAATTTTGGTACTCTCGATGGGGGACTTTCTCACCGTGTCGAAATACCTTCAAAAAATCACAATCGATCGTTAAAATAACACCAGCAAGATTTGCACAACAATATAAAACAAACAGATGGTTTATAAATTATTTTTCACTTTCACCACAAAACGTTTACTGAATGATCGTCTGATTCGAAATCAACGTCGTTCACTAAAAATAGCTCGCACTAAGGATTTATGATAATTTACCACGTGTAACATTTGTAAATCCAGATCACCATTGGCCACATTGAGGAAGCACAAAAGGGCGAGAAACGTCACTAATTGTTTCGGTGACATTTTGTTCGATTCTGATTCGACGGGACGCAGGAGGGACAGGCACGTCCGGAATGCACAATTTCTCTCGACGATCTACGAAGAGGTATATATTCTTGCCGGTGCTTATCTAAAACAGCTGCTCGAGTGGGGGTGGATAAGGAACACACAGGCGAACAGGTTTGCAGTTCTCTCTCGATTTTTATTGTCGGTTCTACGTTTTTGCTCGTTACGTTGATCCTTTTCCCGTCGCGGAGCCGCGATCGTGGTGCTCCTCGAAGGCCACGTACTCAAAGAATGGGAAATCCGGCGAAGCTTGTCCCCCTCTGGACTAAGTGTGGCTTGGGTTCGGCTTCATATACTCGAGAAACCAGTGTTTCATCGTTAAACAAAGATTAACCGTGGATTGCCTTGAAAGAGCGCCCTATCGGACGCACGGTCGAATCTCTCGTGTCTGATCCATCGCGTGTTGCTTAATTCGACACTCGGAATTAAACGGACACGCCAAGAAAGTGATCGACGAATGTAGTCAAACGACATCGTTTATTATCATAACGATGCATCTTCCTGGTAGTCGTCGTATACAATTAATATATTTCTAGGAATTTCTCATGTTAAGTACGCAATGATAATATCATTTTCGCGGTAAAGTTATAATTATGATTACAAAAAGTGTCCCTGTGTCTATCTAATGTGTTTCTGTCTGTAAATGACTACATTGGTACAGTGCAACCATAGCATTGAATCTTATTTACTTAGAAAAAGCCACGAATGGATAACGATGAAATATTCATCGTTGAAACTATGAAATGTGTTAGACGATTAGAGTATGTAATTGATGTACACATACGCATTGAACGGTGATTGATAACATAATTAAAAAATTGGCACCGGCGTATCTAATTTGGTTGCCGTCTCTAATAATACGTTTCGTGTAAGTTAAAAAGAAAAAATAGCGTATAAAATGTTCGTGAAAATATTAATGAACGATTATTTACGAAGATTGTGACACGCCTCGTTACATGAATATTTGTGCTTCATAGAAACATGACGTTCTATAAGAGATCGTTTCCGTTTAGTTTCACTTAACTCGTGTTAAGTTCGTCTTATTTCCCTGAAGGATAACCGTATGGAAGTCACGGGGAAAACCTGTCCGTCCGTTAGTCTTCCGCCAGGTAACCGAATCTCTGATTCGTCGGGACTATTTATATACGACTTTCGTTTCTGCTTGGACGATTCATTCGAGTCCCATTGGCGATTTACGATTTTCATCCGATTTTGCGTTTACTGAAAAAACAGAAACCCACGACGGTCAGGTATTCTTAGCCTGCGCACGTTCCAGTTTCGTAAGTTTTCAATAGTAAGCGCAGATATCCGTTGCGTTTATCAAGGATACGCTTGCTTGATTGTTATCGACAACCTTTATTCCATTGCGACATTACCGTAACATTGGAGCATTGACCATTCGCCTTGTAATATTTATCCCGTGGTGTTCTGCATGTTCGCGATTAAACGTACAAATTGTTCCGGGTGTTTGAATGTCATGCATTCCACTCGCGATTTTCTTTCTTTGTAGAACGACCGATCGAGACATTGAACTCCGGCAAAATTTCACTTGAATATGTTTACTTATAACACGGAATGGAACGTACGCGTCGTGTTGGACATTCACCGAATCATCTTGCGTAGACTTCGTTAAATATATTAATTATTCTACTTTGATAACACTTGATGTTTTATGGAATTCTAGAACTTATCGTCTTTTTCCGTTTTCAGTTCCATGAAGGATTCCAGGAAACTGTGTACTAACGTCATTTTTCTAATTCTTTCTAAACAGTTTGAAATTTGTATCTGAAATTAGAGATTATAATTAAATATTGTACCCAGATTTCAAGTAAAAATAAGAATACAGTTTTGTGTGAAATAAGTTGTCTCGCGTATAATATGTAAGCTTGCAATTTCGAAACGTTAGTCTTTCGTATTTGCCAGATTGTAAAAAACACGAGTACAATCTATCTGTTAAGAGAATATCGTGAGTACGTTCTGGTGATCATTGGGACGTAATAAATGGTTTCCACTCGCGAGATCCAATGATACGTGTGCATATAACTGTGTAATAGATCAGTAATATATGGCATAATTTTATGGACTCTGCTAATTACGTGTCTATTAGCAATTTCTTTTCTATCAAGAAGGATCTACAATGGAACGTGCACATTTTCAACAAAGATAAAGAACGTTCAATATTTTGTTTACTGAACTAATATTGTTGTAACTTCTCTTGCAAGTGTTCAAAATTTATTTTGGAAAGGCTTGTCAGAATTCAGCATCTTAAATCATCGCTAAAATAAGAATCTGATGTGAACACTTATGCCATCAAGGATAAACGAGAAATGTCCTTCAGCATCAGTCGTGTTTAGACCGCCAATTTTAAGTACAAATACTTTTTTTGCAGGATTACCAAAAAAAATGGTTAAGTAAATGGAACTTGTGGCTTTAACTGTCCGATAATTTTTTCTACGGTCTTCTGTTCTAAAGTGATTAGAAAATCACTTTTAATATTACAGTTATTATAACAGTACTGCATAGAGTTATTTTAAGAGAAGCATTTTATTTTTCTAATGCATCGTTATTAAGATAGTATTAAATGAATATCTTAATTGTTTATTCTCTAGTCTGATGGAAATACTGATTTGTTTCGATTTCTTCACTTAATTTAAGGGGTTGTTTTGTTTAGCCGATGACCGCATCGTGCGTCTATGGTTATAACGAAACTGAGCGAACGTCACTATGCGATTATTCTAAGCGGAGCCATCAATTATCTTCGGTTTAATTCGAAAAGGACACGTCATACGTTTCCCATTTCGCGTAACATATTGTGGAAATTATGCCGATATCACGAATGCCGCATGAACTATTCGAACGCAGTCAATTTTGCACTTCAGTTCCGTTTTCTCTAATCGAAAATTGTCAATCGTGATTCATCTCTGGTGCAGTATACAGCGCACCGTGCAGTATGCTTTATAAAAGTAACTACCATGAAATTATTATAAATATACTCTTTATAATATATTATTTAAAACAAATAACAAACAACGTTCTATAAATTCCTGGTAAGCCTTCTGGTTATTTCATAATCTTTGAAATTTTACGCTACTAAACGGTTCTCAAATTACTGTAGATTATTGAACTCGGCTTTTTACAAGTTGCACAATTATATAAACTTTCACAGTATGTATTCTTATAAAATACTGTGTTCAAGGTTTACACCAATATCTGAAGTCAGAGTTAAAATAACATTCACGAAACAACACCTGCAATGTTATTTCCATACAAAGATGTTTTTTAAATCTTGCGATTGTTTTCCGTGTGAAACGATATTATACATACGTATATATACCAAAGATTTAACTATTAAAATATGATGGACAATATACATTGTTTCGTTGATCTTGTTAAATGTGAGAATTCTTTCCCACCAGAGTTTTTCGAGCGAGAGAGATTTTCGTCACCCCATTCGTTGACAATGGGGATATTCGAATATCAAAACTTCGACCTGTGATCCATCGAAAAACCTTCTCTCTGAACGATCCAATCACGAATATTAAAAATCAACGAGTAGGACACACGATCTGAATTAATCTCTATTAAAAAATCCCAATCTGTACAAAAAAGAAAATACTGGGTGCGATTCATTGGCCCCAACATTCGAACTCGTTTCCTCCGTGCAGGATCCACGAGTCTCACGCGGCAATGACGAATCATCCTTCGATATCCCCGCATAATTTAATTCGCAGCGTCGATGAGCAATGAATCGCGCGTCACGAGGGGCTCGTAGGTCCACAAAGCGTCGAACGTAGTGGAGCGTCACGGAAGGAATGAGTCGTGGGTGTGTCGTGAATAAAGGCGGCTCGATCCACACCTTTGTCTTAAGCTGTATTTCCGTTTGATCGTATGAAAATACAATTTTTCTAAAATGATTCGTTTCGAGAATAGTGTCTTTGTCACCTTTTTAATGAACGAAGGAAGAATCATTTGATCTCGTGAACAGGTTCTAGTTTTCAGGCGTCGATTATTTGCTGTGTAAGAAACTAGTTGTTTTTTTTGTTTTCTGTGAGAAATACTGATGAAACATAGGAACAAGCATAAAGTACATTTCATTATGTTCCATCAAACGTGTACAAAAATTATACTACTTCGAATGATAAATCTTATAGCGTCTACCTAATTAATTAGATTTTGCCCTGTCAGGTGGTTATTCCTTTAGATCGCTAGAATATTCTGCATCAAGAAAAAATTTCGAGAACGTCCAGTTGGAAGCTTTTTCAGCCAATACAATCGAAGCATATGTAATGAAATTAATTGAAAAATGGGAAGAAATTGTATAAAAAAGTAGTAAATAAGGATATGATATCAATCATGGAAAATATAGATTATAATTCTGTCGTTAAAAACGCTACGAACTTTTTGAACATCCTACTAGTACTTCAGATGTTTTCAATTGAGTTAGTCATTTTCCAAAGTTATTAACTCCACAAAACAATAAGCAGAAAAAATTAATAAAGTTATGAAGTTAAGCTTCAATTAAGTGCTTTGGTACGAAAATTTGAAAAAATTCAAAAAATGTAGTTATCATTTTTACTTGTGCACGACTCAATTAAAAAATCATTCAATGCACCGGGATCTATGGTAGCGATTAGTTTATTTTAAGTGTACTCGTACGTATCCACTTGAGAGTTTCGTTCGCGAAAAGCAGACGTAAAGAATAGCACACTTTAGTAGACACGTAGCAGTATTACTAGCGCGTGCATATTATGGGAGGAGTAAAAAAAAAAGGAAACCGGTTTTGAAAGACCATAACCTCTAACAACCGTACCGTCTGTGCTCTTAATGAATTTTTAAAAAGACACTTTCCGCCCGTCAAGGTTTCCCCAACGTTACCCGACTCTTTTTCACACGTCGAATCCTTACTTGAAAAAAAGATTTCATAAAATTCCCTATAAAAGAGTAGTAAGGCCGGTTACGTATTAAAACTTGAACTCCCGACATTTCTTTTCGCGATTTAGCGTCAGCCTGTGTGCGTGTGTCCACAGGAGTTTTATGTGCCTCGAGACTGGCGTTGCAAGATTATTGCAAACATTTATGGAGCCTTTCGTAAAAAAAAAAGTTCTGCATATTCGCTGGTGGGACACTTGCGACGATATAATGTGCGACGAAGATTTTTTACTTAAGAAGATTATTACTTAAATAAATGCATTATTTTCATCTAATGATAATAAACGTGTCCACAGTTGAACGTGTGAACTGTGTCTCAAAAAGTTTAAGTTTCGTTTAACACGTTTCAATGTATAAATAAATATATTAACTCGAGACAGCATTGTCGCTGGAGATTATTCTACCAACTGCCAATTAATTCCGCCTGTATTAATGATGTATAATTCAATCAGCTGTCGATTCTTATCTGACGAACGTTTGTTGATCTCGCGATACGAATGGTCGCGTCGTCTTATGTAAAAATTCCGTTAGAACGTTCCTATTCTCCTCTCCGTCCCTTCCATGATTTCTCTTGATCGTCCGTTTTCCTGTTCTCGGGAATCCATTCCGAACGAGTGGAGTTTTATTCTTCGACATGACTCTCGATTGGTGTATCGGCTGTTCGATTGCACGTTCAAGGCTGTGCTGACCTTGAATTGGTATTTTTCGATTTAACTGTCACGACGCTTTACATAGGATGCGGGTACACTAATGTTGGTTCAATTTTGCATTTGGTTCCCGACGTATTTATTTGTAGAATACAACAAACACGAGAATTATGGTGAAAAATTTACTCGTACGATGTACAGGTTGTCCAGTAAACCGTAATATAATCGAGAAACAGACAACCCCACGTGTAAACCTAAATCGAAAATGTAGAATAAACTGCGTACAGAAAATTTCAGTAGATACACTTTTACTGTTGTCAGTTTGTAGGTTAATGTACATACTATTACAGATTTACCGATCGCTATCTCAAGTTTCACTTTTATGAATGAAAACGAACAACGTAATCAATCTTGGCGCTGTATCCTTCGCGAAGTAAGTATTACTCCGTCCGACAGTGAATGCGATCGAACCGCGTTGAAACCAGATGATAGCTGATAAACATCATTTTAACATCATCGACAGAGAAGAAAAAGTCGTAATTTTGCATGCACGACGTAATACACACGGAGTCAAGCTTTTTACGGCTGTTGTAAAAGCCATCGAGAAGATAGACTCGCTATGGATGTCGATCATGTACAATGTAGATCTTTAATCTGACAACCTTGTGAGACTTGTGGACTGGAGCGGGTACAAGAGTGAACGGAATAATGGCAAATATTAGTATGCCGGATCCAAAATGTATTAAAGCTTTCAGAAGCATAAAATCCTCGTATATCACATTTGTGGCGTAAAACCTTTAGTGTACTGTAGCTGTTGTATCATTACCGCAGTTTATCATCGGCAATAAATTCAAAAAAGAAACTCATGGTGTAATAAGATAATCCGTGTAACAAGTTAAGGAGGTACAGTATTTTTAATTACCGATTAAGCGTGATACATACAGCGTAAGCGTGTACATTCACAAGCTGTTTCATTAGTATAAATTGCGATGTTGAGTTCCGGATTTGAATTAATAACAGATTAAAATATTTGTACTATATATGTGTATACTTAAGTAGTCACATTATAGAAATGTCATTCTATAATTGAATGAAATATAAATTTCATATTGTAGATCAAGGTTCTAGGCGGGATTGAACAACGTTACATTATTTAATACCTGCGTTCAATCGATATTGCGATATTCAACGTTATCTCCGAGACCTACCAGGGGTATCCGAATTTGTTTCCAAGGTTCCGTATGAATTTTAATCCGACTGTAGATGCAACCATCCCGTCAGTACGACATGCAGAGCGAAGCTCCCATTATTACGTACGGAATTAATAATGGATGTGCCAGACTGCAGGGCAACAACGTCACAAATTAGACGAGCTTCTTATCGTGAATGCACAGCCACGTCTGTGTGTATGTGTCTGTGTGCCTGTCGCTTTTGTAATCACCGATCGCTGTATGGATTAAAATTTTTAATGAGCGAAACAACATTGAACGAGAGAAATATATCTGCCTCTATAAAGTGGCTCGGTCTAATTAAAATACAGAGATATCCAGATGCAAATCATTCCGAGTAGACCCGCGGTAAATCCAACCATGTTGCTAGATTTCTAAAAAGAGATTGGTCATACGAATGACACCCCTACGATGAATAATGAACAGATATTTCCTAGGAAAGGCATGCATCGAAGGTGGAAACACAGGCATACACACACACACACGTTATGTGGAATTTCCATTGAAGGTATACACACGCCTGTTAGAGGATTTTCATGATTTGGGTTAGAAGGTCGCTAACTGATTTCGCAAACATTTTTGCACACCGCATTGTCTATCGAACGTCGAAACAGAGAACCGAGGGAAAAAAAGGGGGAATGTGAAGGGCAGGGGAACTGACGGATCCTTGATAGAACCGCATCGTTTCTAGCTGCTGCTGCTGCAGCTGCAGCTGCAGTTGCAGTTGCAGTTGTAGTCTGACTGCGGACCGCTGAGAAGGGAAATCCAATACCACGGAATTGAATAACGTATCGACAGACGTCGTAGGGTGCGAAGGCACGTTCGGGAACAACTTCCTTCTCGCTGGGACCGTGGCGGGATCTGCTCGGAATCGATAGAACTCATTCAACTGTATCGGTGATGAACTCGTCTTCATTTAATACATCGGGTTTTCAACCTCGTCAAAATTTTAAAATGATTGTTTTATTAATATTCAAATATAACGAACCGCCATGACGGAAAATCCAGAAGATTATTATGACTACAGAATTTATGAGCTGATCATTTCGAATGATTTTGGACAAAATCAGCAAGGAATGTATAATGTGAACGTCTAAATAGAAGGTAAAACTAGAGAAATGTCTAGAAGGAATTACAAGTACCCTTTAAAAAAATAGCATTTCTTAAATTGTTTCTATGCATTAAATCCGAATTTCTTTACGAATAAGATTTTTCTTAGGATTACATAGATATATACTAGAAATATGGGTCACTGGAAGTACGGGTAAATTATCCAGAGTACAAACGAGCTTATGTTCCAGGACACGAACGAAGGTAGACCTTGGACTAGTAACCCACATAATGGCGCTCCAACGTAACATGATCGTCCTTCGAATATCGATAATACTCATGCATGAGTTTCTCATCCCCTTTGGATCCCGACTCACGAATTTTATTTGTGTTTCCACTGTTGTATTATTTCATTTTGTGCATTGCGGTTACAATATACATATGTAGATCGAATTGGCACGGCAAAGGTATAAAATGTACAATTCGCGTTTCACATGTCAGTACATGAGTATGTACGGCAAATAAACTTATAATCGATTCCACGTCTGAGAAACAAGTGCATAATATAAAGAATGCGATTTAAACTGCAATATATTAAAGAGTGGACGAACACGGAATCGAAGTATTTGAGAGGGATCCTTTCAGAAACTTCGACATACGCGTAGGACTAATACAGAATTTCCAATCAGAACAATTTAAGGTGGACTTGTTCCTCAATCGAATATATCGACGTAAAATATCAGCCGGATGTTGTTCTTGATCAGACAAGTAGAATCAGCCCCACACACTATCGGGAATAAGTAAAATGGGCTCCGTATGTGACCAGGCAAGTAGAATAAGGTCTGTATGAGGCCAGACAAATATTATAGAACAGAGCCATACATGGCCAGGCAAGTAGAATAGGGGTCGTGTGTGATGAGACAAGCAGAATAGGGCCAAATGTCATAAAGCTTAAAAATTATTCATTTTATTTATATTTTTTTGAAACAAACTATAATGTTTATCGTTCACTTTCTTTTACTGATTTCAGATATCCTCGGCCGCTGTTCAATGCAGAATTAACTGCGGCGTAAATTGCCAGTTCAATTCCAAAGGAAAGCATACTGTATGGTGTCAACAACGTTGCTTTGCCTAGGCAAGGACAAAGATGCAGGTAATTGTCATCGATTTTCAAAACTGATTCGTTGTTTTCAAATTATTTGACTCTCTAATGGCGAACTAATCATATTAACATTTCATACAAACTACAAATATGTGTAAGTTAATTTTTTCATGTGGTACATGAAAATTAGAAAATAGACAATTGAATTTTCACGGTTACAAAGAAACAATATATATGGCATTCAATATCATTATTACGCTTTATGCTGTTTGCTCGCCTGCTGATTGTTTTATCTCTTTAAAATTCCGGGTCACAAACGACCCGTGCATCGTCAGCCAATGGTCAATCTGGGCACGATAATTATCTTCTATGTTATTCCCGCTTGATTGCGCGCGAAACAAATCGATGTTGTTCGTTTCTTACGCGAGCACGCGGTATCACCATCCGCTCCAAGTGTTTACCCTTTTGTTTCGCGTACACTGGACTGTTCTTTTTTTCGTTTCACGCTCCGTTAAATCGAACCTTGTAGGTATTTCTCAATTGGGTCCGAAGACCTAGCCGAGCGTGTCACATCCAGCCGGCTGAATTCCATTAACACGGGTGCATTGATTCTCGATTCTAGATTCAATTCAGTTTATTTTGTAAGAAAACGGGGCCATGTATACATACATAGCGCGATGCCTTCCGGATCAAACTCGGGAACGACTTTTGCCTGTGTATTCGGAGCGATCGATGAGGGCAATCGGAAAGAAAAAAAATTGGAGTGCCCCGGAATATCGTGAGATATATACATAATAATTTGCACGTACTTCGCGGGCTGCAATCACCTTAAGGTCTAATATATCGCCGATTTTACGGACCATTAGGGGATTAAGAGAACTTCAGCGAATGGTTGAAGTTCAATAATGGCAGCCCGTATCTTGGATTACATACATGTTCCGCGAGTACCACTTAAAACTGATATTCACGTGGTAACGCTTCCTTTTTTCGATCTTACAATAATTAAAGACAAGGATTTCGATGTTTAAATATCCGGTATTCCTATGACGTTGGTGTCTTCTCATTAAAAGAGGAGATAGTCGGATACGTTTTCGATCTGATTATTTCCACTGTATATTGGTTCATCAGTTTTATTTATCTTCTTTCGGTTTCTATGGTGGCCAGTGTTGAGCATATTACCAGGAAAGTTTTGAGCTTCCTAAGTCTGCGGAGCCAAAGATTTCTCAGTTGAGAAGCTCATGCAGAACTTCATCCGGTGGAGTTTGTTCGGAATATAGACGAAATAGTTGATTAGTTTATCTTCTTGGGGTGGCTTTACAATCTTCTGGATGTCGAATATTTCACTGTCAATATCAAAGTTATTGTATTATGTTCCAGTTCACAGAATCTGTGAACCAAATTTTTCATAATTATCGAACGCACGACCTCAATCGAAAAATTTTAATTCGTCCCGTTTACCATGTTTTACCGTCGTAAATTAATCCGTTGAAATTTCACAAATTATTCACCGTGACGCTTCTCTCCGCTTCAGAGAAAGTTTAGTAAGGGTTTACAAAGCAGTTGAAAGCCGGCAATGAAATGGGACACAGCGGGGCGAGATTGCTGCTGGTAAAATTACTATCGCAAAAATAATTACAAAATTTGTGTAGCTTAAGTCTCGCGTCGATGTTTGAACTGTTTAACCCACGTAATAGAAGATGGCGAGTTTTATTCACTGTAAGATTTAGATAAGATTAACAATTTTACGATGTGACGTTATAGAAAAAAATGTGAAATTTATTTCTGGCTTTAGTCTACTGTACAAACAAGACAGTTATCCATGGAAGTTTCTTTTCCAGGGTTTGACCTCCTCCGGGCTTAAAAGATTACGAGAGATTTAACAATAATCTAGAGAAGCGTTGGATGAAACGTTGACGATTTTATTCGATTATCTCGATCTTTCGTGTATCTCGTGGGAAATAATGTCTCTCGAAATTGAACATTTAAATAATTGTATAATTGTTCGCAGTCCCTTAATCTTTCAATGTTACAGAATATTTTACGCTCAGTAACATCTGGTCTGCTATAATTTTGATGAAAAGTTTGAGACGACACGATTATGATTCATGCGAATCGATCGGCCTTTTATCGATAGCTTTTCACTTGGCATTCCCCGTATTCCACGTTTCATATTTTTAGGTCGAACACTCAGGCAACCGTAATTCCGTTTCAACCGGGGCTAGTTTCTTCCCTCCAACTTTTGTCATGGCCTGTCACTGCTGTGTGTCCGTGTATCTCGAAGTTTCGCTCAGGGTCCGGCTGTTTAAATTGCCGCCATGAATTTTATGTCCAGTCATTTTAAATAGTCGCTATCTTCCCCGGACAAATATGGCGTCTTTCGTATGGAAGTTTGGTCGTTTAACACAGAAATTCTATTAAATTCCTCGATGTACGTAAATTACTTTCGTGTTTACTACGGTCTTGCCTCAGAATAGATTTATCTTGAAACATTCACAATCAGTCACTTTTCAGAAAAGTCGATTTACTGAAAATTTAATCTCGATGATAAGAAAAAAATGGTTAAAATACTTTTCGATACTAATAAAACGTGTTTAAATAATTTCTTTTGTTCCGTCGTGTTTGATATTCGACGAATTACTGTACAGTAATAATTCGGAATATTTATGCTTCGTAGATCCTCTCAAACTGCGTGCATTCAAGGCGCTACTTTTATTCATACTCGGTTACCGCTAGAAGTTGACATGAAAAGCGATCGTTCGAAAATTGATGAGACCACGGTTTCCCGAACGACAGACAGTAAATTTAGTGTTCACGTACGTGAACTAGACGATACTCGATAATAGCATACGCGAGAACCCGTCGAACGGAATCGAAGTAGACGGCAAATGACTTTTCTCTGTGAATTGCTGAAAAATGGTTTTCCCCATGTACGTCACAACGGATTCCATAAAAAGAAATATACATCGTATACTGATGCTTGAGCGATCGGAACTGAAAACAATGTGCTTTTCCGACCCCGAAAATTGGTCTTAATAAATCGTAACAATGTCACGATTATTGTTATCCAGGAGAACGGGGTAGGGGGTGCTCCATTTAGGGATTTAATTATATGCAGAAGGAGCCATTTACGTATTACCTTCATTTTCATTCACTGCCACTGGAAACTTCGTCACGCGGACAGACGTTATACAGGGTCTTAGAGGAAAGTTGAGAAACTTACCCGCCCAAATTGACTAGGTGGAAAGGGTTTCGTATTAAAGCTACTGCCGTAATTGGAATCCCAGGAAATCAAAATTACTGGCGAAAGCTGCTTTTGACGGTGCCCGGTTCAGTTCCCCCATAATGATTTCGTGTTTACTGCGCGATCGGGCCCGGTAAAATGGCTGAAAAAAGTATTTCAATTATGAGACCCGATTATCCGATAAAGTGCCGTGACGTCATCCAGGCTACTCCTTGCTTTCGTTCAAGTCTCGAGAAACTAACTACGAAATGGAACCTTCCTTTGACTTTCTACTTTACCAATCACGCCTTTAAATGTGGCTCGGCCTTTCGTCCGTTTGATGTTGGCATACGAAGATTCGATACGGGGTGCATTGCATGAGTTAAGATTATTCCAGATAAATAATAGCCCAAAACATTTGACAATAATACTTGGTAATTTAAGATAATAAATATCCAGGTGAAGGATTCAATATTAATCGCGATGACGAATTCTCAATGTATCCCAAACAGTATTACCTGCATCAGTAAGTGGTTCGCTAGTTCTTTTTAATAAACTGGTGACAGTTTAAATTCAGAACATCTTTCTGCTCTCTTTATGATTGAAAATGGTAAAGTACTTCGAAAAACGAGAACAGATATCACAGATTTTTTATTTCCTACGAAAGAAATGAATTTGATTAGATAGAGTGGCTCACTTATTGGTACACTGTATATATTCAATCCACATCGATATTAATAACTTCATTCTAATTTATTAAATTAAAAGGAAAAAGAATGCCGTATTTGCCATTTTATCGAATTTTTTAAAAAATGGGTAAATTACTTTCTAGTTTCGAAGATAAATCTGTCGTTCCAATGAAGACTTCAACGGATCCTCCATATTCACATTAAAACGGTGTTCTTCTGAAACTGATGCATTATTCGGAGGTTTGTCTCCGTAATGAGCCGGATTAAGTTGTCGTCTGGACGACGTGCGACTAGTAGAGCGCCATCGAGTACAGTTGCTACTGCTCCAGAGTTAATCTCCCTAAATTCGTCCATCCGACATTTTGGAGACTAGTCCAGCCTGCGCGAGACCGTGAATATGTCGGGTGCGTTCATAGGCGAATTAACGAGAAGTAGAAATTTAAATCATGTCCCCGTAAAATCTAAAGGCTGTGTTCAGCGATGTCTTCTCATGAATAATTGCATGGCAGAGATATGTATATGTATATCACAAAAAAATATAAAAATGTAAAATGTATTCGTGTTGGAGGAAAAATATAGGATTAGGTACTTTTTTCTTGTGTTTGACAGACATTAAACGCACATAATGGAAATAATGAGTTCGTTAGAGGTACGAGTTGCCCTATATCCCTATTAGACGCGGCCGAGGTGGTACGAGTTTCGCGGATACATGAAAAATGCAACGATCCCGCGCATAAAATTCGAGTAATTCTTTACTGCGAGGTCTGACGTTACGAGCCAGCGAATATTTGCCGAGGATTTGAATGTACCCCCGGCGGATCGTCGATGAAAATTGACGAAAGCGTAAGTGGAAAGGGCGGAGGTCTGAGTGGCTGGAAATGCTGATTTTATGACTCCTCCTCCGGACCTGTGAAGATGTTCCTTTACGATACCGTGATACTTTAGCATTCATAATCAAACAGGTCTTCGTCTTTGTAAATTGTATTTTGCATAGAAGACCACGTTCTTGGTTACGATCTTCGGTTCTTTGTCTTTTATTATAAAAATTTTTATGTCGAGGAATTTCTTATGTCGAATAGTGAACGTAAACGCAATATTAAGAAAAATGTGTAAGTCCTCGCTGGTAATGATTCGAAAGAGAG